CTTAATTTCCACAGTCGCGCTATAACAAACGCTATAATTCACAACGAACGTCTCACGTGCTCGACTCAACAATAAGTCTCTGTCTGTCCGCAGTTCAATTACCCCTTGTTGCCGTCACGTCTTGACCGTCTTATATGTACAAGAATACCGAAATATAGTAAACGCTCGAGCATTCACGAACCTTCGAGAATATGACGTGTTACTAGCGTAACAATATTTTTGATAGTCATTTTCTATGTATGTAAGAGCTTTTTGTATGAATAGACAAGGAATGAGTATGCCATTATTATTAGAACAACATGGACACACTAATTATAGCTATATTCAAAACGTAACTTTATTGAATACAGTTATATGATTTTAGGCATATAATGAAAAAAAAAAGAACTCTAAGAAGAAGTAATTTTGATGTTTTTTTTGGAAAACAGCAGTTCACGAAAAAATTTGCAAAACATCACAGCCTAAAATATTAGACAAATAGTAAACCAAGAGTACACTAAAGTTAATGCAATTTGGTTAAGCATTTTAAGTGTGAGAAGAAAACAAAGAGGGGTGACACATGCCATTTGGGAAAAGGCTTTAACTTCATCAAACATTTTTACAAATATGGTAGATCTGAACAATAAACCTCTTACTGTACAAGAAGTGACAATAAATTTTATGAAATCTACAACTGTAAACAATCATTTCTTTGTCATTCAGTATCAATGTTCAAGAGTCATGAGTGTGATTAAATATTCTACTCTGACCTTAACTGCAATTATACTGCTCCAATTCCATTATCATGAACATCAGTGTCTGATAGGAATTCACTGTCTTGTCATGGATAATAGCACTGGAACTTCCACTAAAGCCAGCTTTGAGGATCAAATGCTTGTTCACTTTGCTCACTTCACTCAAAGTGTGTCACAGTTTTACTGATAGCAGACAATGGTGATGCTATCACTGAGAAATTGGCAACAAACCATTAGTAATATGTTGCAAAACCAAAGAAGATGCAAACTTCTCATTTGGTCTCAGGTTGAGGCCAATCTCTTACTGTTATTATTTTGGCAATGTTCTCAATCTACAATGTTATTGAGAAATTCCATTATCAGGTTCTCAGCCATAGACTTGAATGTACGACCAAATACCAAAATATCACCGACTTAGACTTGGTATCATTTCCATTGCAACCACTTTAATATAAGTTTCATTAGCTTCTCAGAAAGGCCGAACTGCACAATGTGAAACTCACACAAACCATCTCTCATACTAAAAGTAGTATCAGGTTTTCTTTCGTCTTGCAGCTTGACTTTTCAGTATCCAAATGCCAAATTCAAAGTATTGAACCAACTGGAACTATAGATCTCATCCAGTCACTCATCTGTCTGCAACAAAGAAAAAAATGCCAATGTAAGTTACTTCGTTCACTTGACTTAAATCAATACAGCGTTATGGTATACCTTATTCTTGAAAATCACGACTGGAAACGACCAAGTGCTCTCCAAAGAATGTGCAATCCCATCTTTCAACGTGTGTTGTTTCTTAGTGCTGTCTACATCCCGAGTACTTTAGCCTGGTGGTTGCTGGATTGGACGTGTGTCACCGGTATCTATTGTATGACAAGTCATTGTTGCTCCTCCCATAAATGTAATGACATACTCAAACAACAAATCACTAGTGGCTATCACTACATTTGGTCCAAATTGTTTGTACAATACTCAACGAATGTTCCCCAGACTATTAGTAGCTATGCACGTGCTTTTGGATATGGTGCAATGGACGTAACCTAGCATCACCGCTAGGCTCGGTTACTTCCATTTCATTTTAACTCACCAACAAGATTCCAGGGTTAATGCTAGATAGGGGACCTCCCATAATTACTAAAAAACACCGATACTTTGTCCTTTCTCGGGCAGATAACTGCCTGAGCTAATATTTTCTAGACACGACACAGATTAATTCTTGCATGGGCTCTATGATTATGAAAAATTGTTTCAATCAAAGGCATATATTTTTAGGTAATAAAACCTCTACTAATAAAAAAACTATTTCTGTGTGAGGCTAAAGGTAGCAAAATACTAAATATTTTAAAGGTATAGGACTTTAAAAAATCATTCATACAGAAAGAACTGTATAGAAAACTCCACTTTAAATTTTTTTCAAGACAATACGTTTCTTGTAAAACCCAAGAGCAGGCATAAAAATTATGTCGTAATCACGGCTTATAGCGTTTAGCAATGTTATGTTCACGTTTACATTTGCATTATAACTCGTGTCAATCTTCTGTAGAGACAGCATACTTTATAATATGCACTTGTTTTTCAATCAACAATTTAAGGTAAAATAAGTGATTGTAACAAATATTCAAATATTTATTTATTGATGATTAAAATAAAATGTATACACTCGTGGTACACAACAAGTCTGACGGATCATATTGAATTAAACATTATTAAATTGTTTAACGAAAAGAACAGTTTAGAAAGATTGATCTTTACATAAAAACACACTGAAAGAAACGTTTCACCAAAACAATGACACAAACTTCTGAATCCTCAGGTCCTGACTTCAACACAGGACGTCTTACAGCCCATTTGGCCAGATCTACAACATCGATGGGACTCAGGGCAGTCAAGGTCTGATGAACACGCTGTTGGAAGGAGTGGTAACAGAAATAAACATGGCTGAACAGGGTGTTCTGGACATTCTGAGAAAAAAAAAGTGAAAGCTGAAATAATGTCTTACGTAATATAATATTTTAATAGGTATATAATAATATATTATTGGGTATATATATATATATTTCTCATATTTCCAGCTCATTCTAAATTATTCTCTGAAGAACGAAAATCTACCACCTGAAAGAGCTCAGGTTATTAAGTTTCTATAATATTGCATTTTTTTCTGCAGTATTTACCAAATAACATAAATACAATTTTCCTCTTATGCTGTAAACGAATAGTCTGAGAACCATGAAACAAGATTTTTTAGCATAATATTTTAGTACAGTCACCAATAAACTGATATTTGACAGACGTTTGACTTAACAGACATATCATAATATTTGGTATATTTTGTATTTAGATTCAAGAGATTAATACATCTGTGTTGTCCACTTTGATTTTAAACTTACAAATAAGTATTTTAGAATGCCTTTACATTAAGCGTACATAATAACAGAGTATAAAATGTTTTATTCAATAAAAAATAAACTAACAAGCCATAATATATCCTAGGCCCGGCATGGCCAGGTAGTTAGGGCGCTCGACTTGCAATCTGTGGGTCGAAGGTTCGAATCCCCGTCACACCAAACATGCTCGCCCTTTCAGCCGTGAGAGCGTTATAATGTTACGATCAATCCCACTATTCGTTGGTAAAATAATAGCCCAAGAGTTGGCGGTGGGTGGTGATGACTAGCCTTCCCTCTAATCTTACATTGCTAAATTAGGGACGGCTACCGCAGATAGTCCTCGTGTAGCTTTATGCGGAATTCAAAAACAAACAATAATATATCCTTAACTCCATACGATTGTTAACATAAATTATAGCTGGTTCACCGAGTGCATTAAGTTCAGCCTGCTATCTAGCGACAAGTAAGATAACTCACAAACGGCGAAATACGTGTGTATAATTATGCTCCCAGTGGCTCAGCGGTAAGTCTGAAAACTTATAACAAACGAGACAAAGTATTTAGTTATAAAATAAGTGTGACATAACAGAAATGCTTCGCGATAATATCCTCATACGGTTATATATATATACACACATATTATTTTTTCAGCTTGATTTCATTACCTCGCTAGTTCTTAGCGTTTAACATCGTAATATTAAAAGAAAATTAAAACTATGCTTGTCAGAAAACACCAGTGTTAGGCCTATTACATTCTTTATCTAGTCCCTTAGGGATTTTCAATAATTAGATATTTGTCATATCCATTGACGACGACGAATTTTGCTCAATCCAGAGCTCTTCAGGGCGACTGAGATGTAACACAATAGTGGTTGGAACACTATTTACACTAGGTGTACTTGCACAGGGTCCCCGAAAGTGTTCTGTTTCAAGAGTAAATAAAACCATAATTAACAGTAACAAATATTTTTATTTCTTGCTTTTGAAGTTCATATGTCATGTTCTATTGTAGCCTACAGCGTGCATAATTCTTCCTGTGATTCATGGTATGCGTCCCTTATGTGACGTCATTTTAGCGTCTACTAACTAACGAACAACACACTACTGTATATTGGTGCGAGTGGTTAAAACAAGTGACCCCTCCATGCGGCCTTCGGCTCCCATTCGGGAAATTACATATTTCCACTTCATATCATTAAAACATATTCTATTATTACTCTCAATATTTTTGTTACAATACAGACTTTTTTCTAAATAGTATTTTCGAATAATTAAACTAAGATAATAATGTTTTCTAAACTGTACTGTCAAATGTGCATATCGACACTGATTTTTTTCTTTATTTTTAACTGAAGTGTTCAGTCAAAATTAAAGTTACCACATAGACTAAAATATGTTAATAAACAGTCTTACCTCCAAGTTCTTGACATGAAGCGCTTTTCTCACAGCTTTCTCTACAGGCTTCACCAAACTCCTTTGTTAAACATTGCTTCAAACAGGCCCGGTAATCTTGGATACAAGATCGCTCTGTGTTCACGCCACCTTCCGTGGAACATAGAATAAAGAGGAAGTAAACAAGAAATAAAATACTCTTCATTTTAGCACTTTCCTTTTTGTTTCAAAGGCGTTATAAACATACAGTCTATTGCAGACAAAAAAGCACCCTGTAAGGCTATGTAGGTGTCTTCACACTGAATGTTATATCACCTATTATAGGTTAACAGGCCTCATTTATCATTGGTTAGGTTTCCTAGAGGGCGCAACTTGACACACCTGAAACTATCTTGGGTTTGGTTTTAGTTTTAAGGAGTGTTCTGTTTTCTTTCTATATAAACCGGTACAGTGAAAGTTTGGCAACATCTAGGACAGGTCAAGCACTAAAAAAATTACCCCTTCGCTTTTATTTTCACTACTTTTAAAGCGCGTGTACTGTAATACAACGTCCCAGTTTTTCAGGTTGTTTATATATGTGCCATTTCCGACCTTCTTAACTAACCAACACACACACACTTCTCAGAAGTGCGTTAGTTAGTCTCAAGTTAGCCAACCACAGGTGTGTCAAACTGGCACAAGTGATACTGAAAGAAAGAAAGAAAAATTAAAATGCTCTGTATTACCTTAAAGTAAATCCAAAGAGTTATTCACACTTTCTAAGAACGAACTGAATACATTAAATAAGTGGCGCGTCACTACAGGTACGGGCCGTGGAACTACAAATTATCTCGTGGTTCTTGGTGAATTGTAGACCATTCGACAATTCAGTGCTCCAGGAATAATATTCGTTTAGAATGGTTGTTAAAATGTCTAGAGCCAAATAACATGACATTTCAATGTTCTCCACAGACACGGAAGAATTCGCCTAGCAGTGTGTTTAGAACAACAACGGATTCCGAAACCACAACCCAAACCAATCCGCGACAACACTTTCATTTGAAAAACTAAGGCTTTGATTACGAAAGAGAGTTCTAATCCTAAAGATCCACACCTATTGAGCTGACCAATTTTCCTTCTATCGTTAACAAGATAATAAAAACAAGGCTTCGAAGGTGACGAAAGGTCACAAACTTCTAGTCATACCCTTACATTAACAGATTTTTTTCTGTTTGTTTATCTTATATTTTGAGAAAGATGGTCGAAGAAATTAGAATCACAACAATCCCATTTGTTCACACATATTTTAAGGTTCCCGATACAGACTCAATGGCTTTTTGCATCTTTGGTTTGCTTCAACATGTCGTTGGATGCCGACATCCACGTAGAATGAATGATCTGAAGAAAGTTAGTCAAAATGTGTGGTCTAAGACTGACTTCGCCATTCTTGTTGCTATGTCAGCTAACAGCGAATATTTATGGCCATTAGACTGAGGGCGATCTTCTGTTTTAATAAAGGATGATAAGTCTTCAGTCTTACAGTGTTAACATAATGCCATTTCTGCAGATTTTCTCCTAAAGGCTGGATCTACTTGGGAAGGTTTAAGAACTTAATCTATATTTACATCAGTATCTTAAACATACCAGTGATTTAAGGATGCGTGTAGCATATAAAACTGAACAACTAAAGCGAAGTATACACCTAACTGTGAATACGAGTACTATGAACATGAATTTCGAAACAACGCTTACACAGTATTTTAATGTTTTATACTGAAATTAAAATCACTCAGAATTACAGTTTAGAACGTAATAAAACTATAAGTTGCAAATTTACCTGCTTTCGATGAAAGCCTATTGTGTCAATGTCTTAAAATATTTAAAGAGAGGTTGTTAGTGAAAAGGAGGAAACGGCCTCCTAAACGCCCTTGGCCCTACCTCAATACCGTTTATTATATATGTAAACATCGTTTCCATATTTGTGTGATAAGTTACTCCCGCAACAGGTGCACTTTTGTTTGATGATGAGGAGCCTACTTTGTGAGTAATGAAGGTTCGAGACGGCTTGAACAGTTAATGAAGAAAACTAATAAACATTCATTGTTTGTTTTACAAACACCCAAATCAGTTTTAATCTTATTAATTTTTACTACTTACAATAGTTTGAAAATAAATAGAACAAATACATGCCCATAATTAATAAACCCATTGAAATATGACTTTTATTTCCCAAAAGACAAACACAGGCAATCGCCCAAGTTAGTGACATGACACACCAGGCTGAACTTGTTTATAAACCATTTTCTCCTTTTGTTTCGAGAATTTTTTTAAATTTCTACAATTAAACATTTTTCACACGTTTACATTTCTTTGTCTGAAACTAATAAACATCTGAGTACCAAGCACTCTATTAATATCTTGATATCTTTGATGTTCTTTTTCTTTACGAGAATTGTTAGTTTTACCAATAAAGTTTGTTGATATATTTAACCTTATATATCTACACACAGAACCAGTGCCTTTTCAAGGCATAAGCTAACTAAGGTACAGCTTAGGGCCTCACAATATATGAGGCCTGTAAGTCGCTTCTAATAAAGGAAAAATTGACTCCATGTCTAATTTTTTTTTTTTTTTTTTAACCGATGCATGCATGGGGGCCAGCAGAAATTTTACCGGGGTGGGGGCAAAGTAATGTGAAATTGCGAAGTGAACAAAAAAATTCATATACATATGCTGAATGGA